GCATAAATAAAACTCCAGCAGGCCATACTCAAACACCTACCACCGCTCCACAATGTGTACGTTTGCTTACGTAGTGTGTGCATTACCCTGCCTGCCTTGCCATCCCCTGTAGGTGGGAGCTGTTCTTGCATTTCAAGTGCGTCAAGTTCCGGCGGACTTTAAGGAGACATGGCTCATCGGAGTGTCCATATACAACTGGTTGTTCTCAACGATTGTCGCCATCCCTACGAACCTCCTGAGTAAGTGCAAGACACACATAACGCATTGACCAACATTGTGCCAGCACACAGTGTGTGGGCGTAGGCCATGCTAAGCAATAGTATGTGTAGCGTACCGTACGTATACGTGTATACGCATGTTTACTATGTCCGTACATTTGGTATGTATATACGTATATACGTATCACACATCTCCACACACCCATGGATACTCAGGACACGTATGAGGCCACTATTGTAGGTACGCAACGATCGACTGAAAGGCCAAGCACTCATGCAGGACACTGCACAGGCCTACTGCAGAGCATACCTTCACCTGTACACTCCGATGACCCCTTATGCTCTAATACCTTATCCTATAACCTCTTAGCCTACAAACCTTTAGTATGTAACACTATTATCCCTATAACACCTTATCCTACAACCCTTTATATTGTAACACTATTATCCCTATAACACCTTATCCTACAACCCTTTATTCTGTAACACTGTTATCCCTATAACACCTCATCCTAAAACCCTTTATTCTGTAACAGTATTATCCCTATAACACCTTATCCTACAACCCATTATTCTGTATCACTATTACACTATAACACCTTATCCTACAACCGTTTATCCTATTGCACTATTATCCCTATAACACCTTATCCTACAACCCCTTACCCTACAACAACGAGGTCAGCTCCCAATGATAGCAACACGCAGCTGTGCATTCTCACGGGATACGTCGTGCTCAACTACATGGTGGTCGCGTGGCTGTTGATCTACTACAAACTGCTGCTAGTGTATCTAGAGCACAGGGATCCCTCCCAAACCAACAGCAGTGGCAGTGGCAGTGGCAGTGGCAGTGGTCAGACGGACCATCCTGGACTACCCAGGTACCATTTGTCTTGAGATTGTGTTGGATGTTGTAAGAGTGTATGCTTATGTAGGTACCATTTGTCCTGAGATTGTGTTGGATGGTGTAAGAGTGTATGTATATGTAGGTACCATTTGTCCTGAGATTGTGTTGGATGTTGTAAGAGTGTATGCATATGTAGGTACCATTTGTCCTGAGAGTGTGTTGGATGTTGTAAGAGTGTATGCATATGTAGGTACCATTTGTCTTGAGATTATGTTGGATGTTATAAGAATGTATGCATATGTAGGTACCATTTGTCCTGAGATTGTGTTGGATGTTGTCGGAGTGTATGCGTGTATGTGTGTATAAGTTAAGACGTCTTTACATGTATGATGCTGTAAAAGTGTAAGCATATGCAGTCTGGTGGTACTTTGTGTGCATGTGCGTATTGAATTCCTATAAGCTGATGGTACCGTGCACGGGTGTATATACGTTTGTTTGTTATTTGTATTCGTGCGAATGCTGTATGTGTGTATTTGTGTATGTGTGTATGTGTGTATGTGTGTATGTGTGTATGTGTGTATGTGTGTATATGTATATGGGTGTATGTGTGTACGTGTGTATGTGTGTATGTGTGTATGTGTGTATGTGTGTATGAGTGTATATGTATATGTGTGTATGTGTGTATGTGTGTATGTGTGTAAGTGTGTATGTGTGTATGTGTATATGTGTGTATGTGTATGTGTATGTGTATGTTCTGTTATCTGTGTATGAATTAACGTTTGTATCTGCGTGATCCTGTGGATTGGACTGGCTAAACAATCTAAGTGTGCCCCAGATTCCGTCTCCTCCGCCCGACTGTACTGTATTAACACCTGTTACCACCCTTCTGTTGTAGGCGATACGTGTATGTGATCTAACACAAACTGGTCGACGGGATCACACGATGTGCGTTAGTCACAGTGCACGGTTGCTGTTGATACGTCCACTTCAGTTAGCCACAGTACACGGTTGCTGTTGATACGTTCACCTCCGTTAGTTACAGTGCACTGTTGCTGATGATAAGTTCACTTCCGTTAGTCACAATGCACTGTTGCTGATGATACGTTCACTTCCGTTCGTCACAGTGCACTGTTGCTGATGATACGTTCACTTCCGTTAGTCACAGTGCACTGTTGCTGATGATACGTTCACTTCAGTTAGTCACAGTGCACTGTTGCTGTTGA